TCGGTGACGACCAGCGAATCCCTGCTGTTGTATTGTGACAATGCGTTAGCGGGACACGGCAGGAAACCCTCATCGCCCTCAACCATTTCCTCCCAGAAGAAACCCATCACCCATGGCATTCCAAACCCAGACCTTTCTTCCGAGCGACATGGCGCCTAGGGTACCTCGTCGTCAGAAAGAGCGGCACGGCGGCCCTCATCAGAATGTTATGGAACCGTTTCCTGCGAGCGCGCGTCTTCTTTGTCTTCCACGGCGGCTCCTGGTCCGCCAAGGGAGAACGCTCTCCGGGGTGGACTTGGCCACCGGCTTGAGTTCCCGGCTTGTTGGGCTACTTTGACAGTGGCCCGGTTGGCCTTCCTCCACACACGCTCTCGCTTTTCCCGGCCAGTTCATGAGCACACCCAACAGCTCGCTCCGTCCGCCGCCTGACCATAATGCTTATTCAAATACCCCATCGGTTGGTCCGGAAAAGCCCCTCGAGTTAAGCATTGCGGGCCTGGGTAGGAGAGCCTGCACTTCAACCAATATGGCAGTGAGTCCGGACTCCGTGAATATGAACTGGTTCCCACATCCCAACCACCAACAGAGAAAGTAGACTCCTACCCAGGCCAGCAACGAACTACAGCCGCCGCCAGAAGACACCATGCAACCGGTCTTCTGGTGGCGGTACGACATCCAACACCCAGACTCGGGATTCCGTCCGCTCTCCCTTAGATAAGCCAGTGAGGGCCAGACTAGTAGATGATGGTTTGCCCGCATAAGAGGCTCTACGAGACCGCGCATACCTGGCAGACGACCTGCTACGTCGGCAAGTTGACCCCTTACACTACTCAGAACGACCTTGTTCCCCTCTTCCAGAACTTTGGCTTCGTTTGGTTCCGAGACCTCAAGAGAGGTTCCATCATCAAGCCCATCTTCAAGAGAGAAAGTCTGTTCTCTGTTTGAGGCGGGGCAGGCCCCGTGCGTCCTTACCCATACCCTCTAAGAAGGAGCAAGAGGTGGGAACGACCGAGCAATGAGTCAACTGCCGGCTACGGCTCTCAGATGGAGCCAGCGGGGCCACGGGACAAACATATTGTTTGCCAATTTGTACTTGGTTATTGCCACCGCGATGTGTGCACCTTCCGAGTCGGCTTGCTGGCTGCTCTGCGCAGCCGCAAGCTGAACTCACAGACGATCGGTCGGTCGGGTGTTGTGACCACCGCCAGTCACAATCCCGACTGGCCCGACGTTGACGGTGCGGTGCTGCTAATGCTTTTGAGAGGCCTCAGGGGTGAGATGTTCGAGGAGGAGGGCAAGGGTCGGGGTTGGTGGCGGGCTGTATAACACTTGTGTGAAAGGATGCGGTATTGTGGAATAAGAGTGTTGTCTCGGGCTTCGCTTGAGAGAATGTGGATTAAGTAATCTTGTAAATAAAGTGGTGGACTTATTCTTGTTCTTGTTCTTCTTCTTCTTCTCCCTCTCATTTTCATAGTAGAACAGATAGTATCAAGCGCTTCTCGCATGCGTTGTTCCCGTGTCGCTCTTGTTTTTGTTGTGATATTTACATGTAGAGGTATCCTTCGACTACCTCTAGGCAACATCCGCTTGGCTTTTCCTTGCATCCGATTGCTGTCCCTCGTGGAGTTGTTCTGAGATGATCATCCTTGTGCCATTCGTCTGTCATTCTTTCAAGTCCACGGAAGTTGACCTGTTATAGGTCTGAGAGCGTTACAACCAGCGAGTGATGGGAATATGAATAATTCGAGTCTTCCAGCCAGCTAACAAAAATCACAACTACCCGATCTCCAGGAACTTTCGGTCAGCATCTTTTCGTTCCACACCAGATCTAGGGTTGACCAAGAAAACCTACATCAACACTCGCCTATTCCACCTCAACCCTCAACACTTCAACCTCCACATCCTTGCCCCTTGACTCCTTCTCCTTAGCCTCCTCCTTATCAAAACTAAACCTCACCCTCCAACCCACCCAAACATTCATCTCCGGTCCCCGCGCCTTCTTGTCGACCTTCTCCCAGTACTTGGCCGATCTCCGGATCCGAATGGTGATAACGATGCGCCTGGGGGGCGGCAGACAAGGCAGAGATAGTAAGACTTGCATGTCTCGCCACCGGGCAACGTGAGGCCGCCTTGCTGGGCGGAGTGGGAGTGAAAATGGGAGAGGGAGGTGGCGAGGAGGGTGGCGGTGGTGGTGAGGTCGGTTTTGGTTGGGAGGGGAATCATTGTTGTTATTGATGCTGCTGTTGTTGTGTTTGTTGCTTTTGCTGTTGTTATTAGTTTTGCTTTTGCCGCGTCTGCTAGAGGTTTGAGCGCGGGGCTTGGAGGTGGTTGTGAATGTGATTGTGGGGATGGCTTCTGGTGGTCATGGAGTCGAGTTGATGACAACCTCAAGGAGAAGAACAACAAAACAAAACGAGGATGCCCCGCGTTGAAAGGTTGACATGGAAGGTTTCGAAGACTGGGCTATCCCATACTATTCACTGGGCGTTGCAGGAATGACTACTAGGCCACCTCAGTTACACTATCCTTCCAAACCTGGTGGCAGCAACCTCGATGGAAGATCGGGCACAACGGACCGAAGGACAGAACGGAAATGCTCGCCCGAGCAGAGAGGCACTAGAGGATACAAGTACCTTTCTACCTAAGCTTTCAGAATCCGTGTTCCTCACCCTGTGTGACAAGTTGAAGAACAACAAGAAACATGACGATGCGAAAACCTAAAGGAGATACATGTAATTTGTTTTCAAGGCTGATTTATCTTGGCATCAAGTTCATCCGTTGCCTTGTGTGGCGGGAAGGTTTTTTGTTATGGAGTGTTCTCTAGCGCTGAGAGGCAGCTTTGTCAGCCGTGGGAGGCAATAAAGTGAACCCGGAATAAAAGGAATAGGAGCAGAGCAAGAAAGTGCAACGAACCTAGAAGTCTGGTGTTTTGAGGTGGCCCCGGTGGTACAACCGCATAACACAGCCCGTACAACAAACGCCCAAGCTCCTTCCTTCCTTCCATCCTTCCCCCGCGCTACATATATCAGATCTTTATGCATACCTTTCAACAAACAGGCGCGGTTGGCGGAGTGGTCTAACGTGTACACACCTGAAAATAATTTGTTGCTGAGGGTTTGGCATCCCGAGGACGCAGATTCGAACAGGGGCCGCGGTTTTTTCCGCCGGTTTTTCCGCAGCAACAATAAAACACAGGCTACAGTGTATTTTCCCGGGTTCGAATCCCGGATCGCGCATATCTTTTTGCTTGTGTTTCCTTTTGTTTATGGAGTTTCTGTGGTTCTTTTTTTTTTACCTATTTGAGGAGTTGGGGTGTTGGACTGTTGGTTGCTTGATTGGGGCCGGCGGCGGCGGGGGTGGGTAGTTGTGGGTGGGTTGTGGTCGTGCGCAATTCCCGCCGTGGACGGCAATAATTTCGCGTTGCAAGCGTCCTTCCGGGTGGTGAGTGAGCTAGGTTCTGCTCTACGATGGGAACCGACCGGCTGATCGTCTGGTGACAGCGGCGCCTCATCACCTGCAGTGACAGACAGACATTGGCTCCATGGATCCATGTTTTCTAGCAATGAATCCTCTTACTCCGATTCACTCGCCGACACTACTTCCTCCTACGGTGCAGATATGGTAGACTGACAGACAGGTCTGAGACGCTATGGGTGTTCTGACATTGACCGCAAGAGTTTGTTCTTTCTTCTCCTTTTGCCCCAGTAAAGTGTCTATCACCGGTTCCATTCGAAGAAGACGCACATACAGCAGGTATGTATCCAGGTACCTTAATTGAGCCAAAAAGAGTGAATGCCCCTGCTCTGCTATGATAGTAGGCATCAAACAAAATCACTCCAACACAATCCATTCAAACATAGTCACTTGAGGGTTTCACAAGCAGATTCAACTCCCGTTACAATCCTATGAAGTAGACGAGACTTTTTTTTTTTGTTGTTGTTATTTTTAACGTCTACTTCCGCCTCCCGTAGGGCATGAGACGTGCCGCACCGGTGAGTCTAGCATACAAAATCAAGAGCAGTGCCCTAATTGTCCACCAAAACCATTAATCCGAGGGCAAACCGAGGCCTACTGCCAATGTAAATCATGTGTTGCCCATAGCGTAAACGCGGCCCAACACTTATAATCGAATCGCCCAGTGGGCGAGAAAAGAGCAGATCCTTGCGTCAACCGGTAACATCTATAAGAAACAGGGCAGGTTTCAGTTCTTTATTGTCATGTCACCCTTACACCGGTGTTCTATATTTTCCCTTGACTCAATCTGTTACAGGCATCTCATATCTCAAAATTCCATGATACCCCGTTCATAGAATCCTTGTGGGTGCGATTGTACCTACCTAGAGGTTGAGGTAGCCAACATCCAGCGATAAGTTTCTTCTCTGTTACTTGTCCGGTGCTTGGCCGTCAGCTGAAAAGTAGACGCTAATTAAGAGGGTTAGGTAGATACTTAGTTACTTTGGAGCTCTATAGGGCCGCACTGGAGTCGTAAGTGACTGGAGGTGATGAGTGCTTCAACACTTGGTAGGGGCTATCGGCGGGAGATAGAAAGATATAGGGAGGATGTACAGACTGAGGATAAAAAATAGACTAGAACAAGCAGGTAACTGTACATATCACATACTAAGGCAGAGATGGAAGTGGCCGAAATGGTACAATTAAACGCACAATTATATCTACATCATCCTCATTAAGCGTTTATATGCTCCATATCCGTCAGCTATATACCATCACCATCACTATAGCCCAAAGTGACTACCAACAACTACCCTGTATAGCAGTAGCCGTAAGGTCTTTCATATCTCCCCAATCCCCTTCTAAACAGTCATTCATCAATCAAAACTACTCCCACACACATTGTAAACATCAAACAATGCCAATGAGACGCCTCATAACGCCTCTACTACTATCATAAACGCCCTTCATCCATTACAGAGGCGACAACTGGACAAAAGAAAAGGGGTATTGTACATAAGCCAATGCGTATCAGCAAGAAAAGTAAAAAGAACTGAGATGGAAGAACAGTCATAGTCGATTTCCTAATATCGCAGACTGTCAGTAATAACTCGTCAACAGTGTATTTGGAGAAAGAACTTACATCTTCAACCAGAAGAACTAAAGCGACCAAGATACCGTACATGATACTACCACATATCTTCCTACGGATCAAACCGCGCCCCAACTGTCTGACTCATGGCGCACCACGCCTTAACGGCAAAAGGAGGCGCGCCAAGCACGTCCTCATCCGGCTCCTCTTGGCCGCGCAACAGATTCGAGCGATCGTACAACCGCTCGCCCGTCGCCGTGTGCGGCCGGTGGGAATCAAAACAATACTTTCTCCCCTGCCGGTGTGCATACTCGTTGTCAAAAAGTATGTGCGCGCCGAACTTCTCGTCCGTCGCCAAATGTCCATCGATATCCAGGTCCATGAGGTAGTCCAGCAAGATCTCGTTGTAGTTGCCATAGGAGCGATGGCGATGGTAGTATTGAAACATCCGTGTGAGATCTTTCCGCTTCTGCTCGGGGTCGATATCCCAACAACCGCGGCGAACGAGGACGTCGCAGCATAGGAGCTTGCCCCCTGTGAAGGCTACCATGAGCGGGGTGAGGGACTCGCGGGTCTCTCGGACCTGCATGAGAGCCGCGGCGCCAGGGATGTTAAGGACTAGGCGGAGGACTTGGTGCTGGAGTTCGGGGGTGGCCCGCTCTTTGGTACATTTGCAGATAACGTGCAAGAGAGTGTTGCCCTGGTTGTCTGTGTGGTCGATCCTGGCGCCGTTGTTGAGTAGTTCACGGAGGACGCGGCTGAGCATACCGAGATGGACGAATGATGATGGCGTGGGCAGTTGCGGGCCTTCGATGGCTTGCATGAGGACGTTGCGGCCGAGGGAGTTGGTGGCATGGATGTTGGCGCCGGCCTTTATGAGAGCTCTGACGGCGGGCACGTTGAGGTTTTGGACCGCTGCAGTGAGGGGAGTGTCACCAGGGCAATCCTGCTTTTCCAAATCTGCTCCGCGGGCCACTAGCTTTTGGATCGTTGACACTCGAGCAGAGCCAAGCTTCACGGCCGTTGCGTACTCCTCTTCTGGTGATTTGTATCCCCCCGTTCCCCTTGTCGCTCGTCCTGCTCCCAACGCAGGGATCTGGGTACCCTTGGCCGGAGGCATGGCGCACATGTGGAGGGGGGTTAGGCCTTTACCAACATTGGTTGCTATGTAGCCTCGGTTGACGTCGGCGCCGAGGTCGATCAGCTTGTCTGCATCTTCGTAGCGTCCAAGGCGACAAGCCTCACCCACTGGTGTGATTGTTGAGTAGGGCAGGAAGATGTCAACATCAATGTCGATGTTGGCGCCGAGCTTGAGCAGCAGCGGCAGCGTAAAATCCCATTGGCTGTATGCATATGCGTAGTATAAGGGAGTAAGGGTCTTGTTGTCGCGCACATCAATCTCCGACTGTAGTCCAGTGTCCACCAGATATCGAACGACATGAACAAGGCCCATGGCCGCAGCATGGTGGAGGGCGGTAGCGGGGTTCTCGCAATAGCCCGACTTCTCCCATGTCGGAGAAAGCTCCATCTGGATCGGTGCTCCCTTTTCCAGAAGTTTGATAGCAGCCTCCTCCTTGGAATGACAAATTGCGACGTGGAGCGGCGTCCATCCAGGAAGGTTGAGGACTGATCTTGGGCCTTCCATGGCATTCAGGAGTCCATGTTCACGCCAGCAAGAGCAGAACCTTTTGGCCACCACGTCACTCCGAGCACCACGTTGGAGCAGAGTGCTGATTGCGTCGATGTGGCCAGCTCTGGCGGCGAGATGGAGGGCAGTGTACCTTCGGTCGTACTTCTCCTCGTTCCATCGTCCCGAACTCTCAGAATCGTTGCCTCGGTAGTCATCGCCAAGTGTAGGTGAATAATAGTCAGGTTCATGGTCGGTATAGTTATCGCCATCGTCGTCCGTGTAATCCGACATGGTCTCGTCTTCATTTTCGATGTTTTCAAAACCGTGGGAAGTGCCGTTGCTACCGGCTAACAAAGTACTACTGGAATGGCAGACAGTTGCGGCGTCACAGCCCTGGTGAAGCTGGCCGTCTCCAGCAAGAGACTTTTCCCACTCTTTCGAAGAGCTGCACTGTTGGAATTCATAGTTGGGGTCCGCGCCAGAGTCGAGAGCTCTGTTCAAGGTTCCGACCACTCCGTGGTGTGCTGCCCACTCGAGGGGATAGGAACAGTTTTGCGAGACTGCGCGCTTGTAGAGGATAGGGTTCACGACGTTGTACAACCTTTGGTTGATTCTGGCAAGCGCAGCCACGTCGCTCAAGCGGTCAAGGTTATCAAGGACGAAAACGACGAGCTCTGTGGGAAGAGCTGATATGGAAGGCATGGTCGAGGGTTCCGGTCCAAGACGGGCGACAAGGAACCGGTGATACGTAGTCCGTAGATGACGGCGGGGAGTACAAACGGGACTCTGAAGTTCGGTTTCGGCGCGTTCGGATTCAAAGTCGCGCGCAAAGCTGGCCGGGTCGGTTTCACAGCGCCGTCAATTTCGTCATACAACGGGCGACGGTAGGTAACGGCAGCTTGGTTGCACGAAAGACAGTCAGAAAAGGAAAAGAAAAAGGCATGTGGATGATCAGGATCAGGGGAAACTCCGCGGGCCTAAGGTAGGCGACGCGTTCACGTTGGACAATTGCCATGCCCGTCGAAGGAGCTGAAGCCGGGGAAGGGTTCGTTACTATGGTAACCTTGGCAGTTTGCAATAGTGAGCGGACAGTGAGCGGCTAGCACTAATAACGGTTAGTTAGAGTCACTAACGCGGCCAAAAGAAGTGGGAACGATTATGCAGAATCCAGCCAATTTACCCCTGGCTGAACCTTTAACGCGTTGATTAAAATCAAGGGGGGAAGGGTAGCGTTACATTATGCGACCACCAATATGCAAGGCCAGACCAGTGCCGACGGGAGTTGTGATGGTTGTTTCGTTTCGCTGACGAAACGAGACTCAAAGAGTCGTGAGAATTGTGCGGGTGCGGAGGAAGAAGTGCGAGAGTGGGAATGGAAGGGAAAGGTGTGCGCTGGGTCAAAGCTCCAGTCCGGTGAGCTTCCGCCGGCTAAAAGGTGACGGCAGGCAGACAGACAGGGAGTTCGATAAGACATCTAACATTATCAGCAATTCCCCCTCGACCCCAGACATCGGACGAGAAATATCAATCTTCAACAACGACCGCATCTCCCTCTTGTCTCGAATTTGTGATTCTCAAGATTGATGGAGATGACCACCATCATGCAAATCTTTGAACTACCACTTCGAGCGCACTTCGAAATGCAGGAGATGCTAGCCCCGGACGGTCGTGCCTGGAACGGGCAAAAGGCGCTGACGGCTGACCGAATCAGGGTTGTGACTGGCTTTGTCAGTTGCCAATTCGGTCATAAGCAGGCGTTGCTGCGTTGCATCCAATTCATTCTGCCGAGCTCGGCCGGCTTGCCCTGGTGTTAATGGCTATCTTGGCAAAATGCCCCTTATTGATTGAGGGACTGAGGATGACGAGACGATGAAGGATATTAGGATGGCATTGAGATGGACAGAGAGAGAAAGCAAAGAGAAATGGGGAAGTTTGGGTCCGAGTGAATGAGGATTATGGCGGAGGGTTGTATTGGAAAGAGAGGGTTTGGCTGTGTGTGATGGGCCATGGCGGCATTCGAGGGCTGGGGCCGGTCGCTCGCTGGTGGAGGGAGGTTCAGGAGACTTTACAAGAAAAGCGCTATCACTGAGGGGATTGACGGCCATTTTGCTATAGTGGCTGCAAGCCATTACAAACACGACGGGACCTGCAAATAAATGCCTTGTTCCTCGCACGATGATAAAAAGGGAGAAGGAGAAGAAAAAAAAAAGAGTATATAAGGAGTGAATGAGCAAATCATGGCAATTTCAGGCTGCTGGGATGGAATAAATACATTTCTAAGCGGGAAAGAAACACAAAAGCACTGCCCGAAAGCTTTTGCTTCAGTTTGGCACTCGAGAGAAGGAATAAGAGTGGACGTTTTGGAGAAGCTCAGAAACGCGGTAGATGACGAAATCATTACATCCCCCACGACAGAGGTCTCTCTGGAAGCTATGACGCTACTGTGTAAATGCTCCTCCCTCAACCACGTTAGTTCCGACCTTGGAGGAGAGGATTACCGCTTGCCTCCTGCCACTGGTTTCCAATACTCGATTTGACCGGCGTGGTTAGTTGTTCGTCTTGCCCACTTTGTTCCTTCCAATTCCGAAACCTGAAGATATTACCGAACGACTTCTTCGATGTACAATGTGCGACTCTTCGCTCTCCCTTGTCCAGTCTCAGTAACAACATGAACCGCAGGAGACTAATCCATGGGTTCGTGCAAGCCAAGAGTTCATGTGGTCCGGATGACTTGGATTTATCCTTCCTTTCTACAGATATTTCGGATCTTGAACGGGATCGCACCTGCCTCATGTAGACCTGGTGGTTCTGTTGATTCGGCTGGTGTCATACCTTCCCGGCCACTGAGTCTTTCGTCGATGGGAACCCATTGACTGAGGCATTGCGCAGCAAATGACACCATGTCCATATGATTCTTGAGATACAAACTCATCAGACTGGTTGGGCATATCTATCCGTCCTCTGCCTGATATCACTAAAGACATCGAAAGTTCTGCTGATTCTCAACAAATCTTCTTCCTTATTAAACTATCGTACTTTTATCTATCTCTCTCTCTGTGTCTCAACCAGACCTCCAGCCTGGATGACCAAAAAAAACAATCAACGAATACAAACCAGCAAGCTGGGTATCAACTTTCAACTATCAACTATCAACTATCAACACGCCAGTCCAGTCATCTCTGCATTGTGATCGACCAAGAACGAACAATGCGATTGACATTGGTGTCACACGCAGCACCTATGGTATCCAATATTTCAACATCCGGCTCTCTGCAGCCAGACCGGTCGGCGGACCACCAGACCCAGACCAGACAGATCAGAAGAGATGAACAAGACCCAAAACGCCGTAAAAAGCAAGCCCAAAAAAGTCGGAAGAAATCACGAGCCTAATACACTCCTCTCCCCCACTATAGGTGCCTTACGCAACAAACGCACTCCCCGTGACCCTGACAAACTCATCCTCAACATGCAACCACACCTTCCTGACCATATCCTGCTCCTCCCTCATGACCCTCAATGTCTCCTCCGTCTTGCTACTCAGTCCTTCCCCATCGTTACTAACGGAGTAGACTCCACTTCCCTCTATCCCATCGGTTCCCCTGGCGACTTTCAGGTGCATGGTCATTGATGACGAGTTACTGCGTGAGTGCGAGGATCGCGCTGAATTGCTGCTGTTGTTGCTCTGCCTGTTGTTGTTCACAGCGGAAAGGACGGTGCCGGAATCGGTGTTGCGGATTTCGATTGAGGGTCTGCTGTTTGTGTTGCCGTTGGTGCTGTCCTCTGCGCGCAGCCCAAACCCGAGACTAACCCCCGCCGTCTCCTCCACATCCATCCCTCCTCTCGCTGGAAACCTCGCGCTGGTAGCCATGAATAACTGCCTCTCGCCCGCCTCCGCGACCGGAATCGTGACCAGCGGTCCGAGGACCTTAAACACGCCCCTGAGAACCGTAATCCCCGCGCTCTTGGTATCCTGCCCCAGCTTCGTCCTTACCAAGCCTGGGAAGCTGTGAACGAAGGAAACGTCGGGGGCTTCTAGGGCGAGGGACTCAAAGGCAAGCGTCATCATGGCGGAGGAATGGGCCCGCGCATCGAGCAGCCCCAGACGCCGACATTGGAAGTCGCCCGTGTCAATGGCGCCTTCTTTGGTGCCGTTGTAGACGGAGACGACACGCCGGAGGGAAGAAGCCTTTTGGAGCTCGGGGAGGAGGTTAACGATGAAGCGGATGCGGGCGTAGAAAGTGACTGCCGAGGGGTAGTACAGGGATTCTTTAGTTTCTGTAAAGTGTGTTAGTCATGTGCGCTTCGCGAAACTGAAATTCGGGAGTGTGAGAGGGGGACGGGGAAGGGAGGAGGATGAGAAGATTGATAATCTGAAATGAAGGGTGAAGAGAGGGGTGAGTGGCCAAGAGTGCGAAAGCCGTTGCGACGCCACCTCCTTTCCACATCCTCCCTTCAGTTCCTTCTTCAAACGCTCACGTTCTCTCCCTTGTTTCCCTCATTCCCTCTCGTAGATCGGAGAAAAGCTCACCTCGTCCAGTAATCCTCGTTCCACAGCTCAAAAACAGCAAGTTCACCACCCTCTCCTTACACTTAATCTCCCTACACACCTCATCCACATTCGCCAACAGGCTCACGTCCGCGCTTCGAAAATGATACTCACCCTCAGGGTTGATATTCGCCAACTCGGCGCCAACCCGTTCGCCATCCTTCCGATCTCTCCCAACGAAATACACCCTTGGCGCCACCGCGTACCGCACAAACTGTTTTAGGGTCGCTTCACCGATGCCCCTCGTGGCGCCCACGAAGACGGCTACCAAGCCCGATGGCAAAGACGACACGATATGCGCGTTGGAGGTCTGGATCTGCTCGAGGGTCACCATGCTTGGGTGCCGCTTGTGGCCTTTTTGGGTGGAGGAGGAGGTGGATGAGGAGGAGGAGGTGCAAGTGGTGATGCTGGTGGAGGAGCCGAGGTTGGTGTGCCCTTGACCCTGGTGAGCGGCGGTGCCGGGACCGTAGCGGCCGATGCCAATGCCGAGACCGATGCCGTTGGGGAAAGGCCCCGGGGGTTGCTGTTGTACTGGCTTTGGTTGTTTAGGGAGTAGGCAGAGGATGAGGCCTGGTTATTGGAGTTACTGCCGCCGACGACGTAAGGGCGGTTAGTGCTTGTGCTGGAGCGGCCGGTGGATGCGGATCGGGAGGAGGTGTGGCTTCTGGTGCGGGAGGTGACTGAGATGCCTGGGTTGGAGAAGGATGACCCGGAGTTGGAGTAACTGCTGCTGCTGTTGCTACCAGTGATGCTGGTGTTGGTGTTGGTGGAGGTTAAAGGCCGGAAGTAGTCATTGATACGGTCAGCACGATCCTGACGGTCACGGTCATAGTCACCGTAGCCCCGCCCGGTGTACGTGTTGTTGGACGAAGAAGTGGCCCCGGCGTTGGAGTTGGCGGAGCTGTGGGCATCCACCAAGTTCGTTTCCGCGGCGGTGAACTGAAGATCCCCTAGTAGAAGCGCAGGCCAATTCCCATTCCGCGATCCAAAAGCACTAATGTTGCCGCCGGTAGTGATGGGATAATCGCACAAGGTGCTGCCGCTGATGCTGGGCGCGATGCTAGGTGCGATACTTGGGGCGACGCTCCGGGATGATGACGGCCGTGGAGGCGCGGAGAGTGGAGTAGTGGTGATGGATGACATGATGCCTTATGTGTTGTCCTTTTTCCCTGATGTGACTCGACGTCGGCCTGTGTGTCTGAGTTGTCGTTGTTTCTGAGAAACTCTCGGAGAGGAAAGGGAGTGGAATAAGATAGATACTCCGATGGGAGGTTGTATGAGTTGGCTACCTCTTTGCTTTCTGGCATGCAGTAGCTCCGAGTTGGTAGCACAAGTTGGAAGCAGGATGTTGTGTTCCAGTTCCCGGCCCAACAAGGCACACAAATCAAGATTGTGTAGCAGCAAAGACAGAAGGATGATGGGCAAACATTGGTCTACACATGTCTTGTCAAAGTTGTCAACGAGAAAGAGATCGACAGGGCTGCATCCGGATACCCAAGACGTTAAGTGCCCGACCGTTGCTATTTCCCTGTATGCGCGCCTAGGGCAGTGGGGTCGCAACCTCGAGGTATGGATATGGTGGATGGAAATGGGTATGGATATCTGACAAGACTGTTGTTGTTGTTGCCTTGCTCGAGCTGAGTTGCGGAGCGACGGCGGTTTGTTAATATGTGATGAGAGGAAAAGTAAAGGACTAAAACTTGGATCTCGTAACCGAGCAACACACAACAAAAACAGTGACGGAAGGGGAATCATACGGCCCAATGTCCGTCAAGGTCAAACTAACGCCCCGGATTTCCACTTGGGATCGACGAGACTACAACGGCACTAACATCGGCTGTTGCATCCAGTGGTTCGCTCCGCTCCTTGTCTCGGCCTGTTCTGGGTGGTGTTTGTCAAGCATTTTGAGAGCAACGAGTCAGGTTTGGTGTATCCGAATGATACCATCTTGGTAGTCGGGTGGTATTGGAGTTGAATGGTAATCTCTTTGTATTATTAGTTTATGCCGGGAATACAGTTCATGACTACGAACTACGTAGTTTGGAGTGGTGAAGGATCGCCGCCTCGAGTGGTGTTTTCAGGCATGAGTTTGTTGACGGGAATAAGGAGAGAAACGTTATTTTTTGCGTTTCTTTTGCGCATGTCAGAAAAGTAAATCAAGACGATGAGCTGCATCCTCTTTTCTTTTCCAACAGCTGAAATAGGTCACAACTGTCAAGCAAAAAGCAACGAAGAGAGATTGTGTGCGTGACATGATTGTTGTTTAAGCTGAATGCCGTCAAGCCTCAAAGCCAGAGAGAGCTAAACAAGAGGGCCAATTTGTCACTCCGAAACCCAATAAGGACCGCCGCATTCCAGTTGTTGCTCCACCCATGTCCAAGGCCTTTGAATCTCGATTCATCCGCTGTTCCGTTGCCTGGTGTCCGTTGTGATAATGTGATGAACTGCCTGATTGTCCTTGATCTTCCTCGCGTTGATATGTGACTGGGGACGGGCCGAGTCCGAGAGCAAAAGATTTCAGGAATCAAGATGAGATGAACTGATGGAGACTGGACATTGAAAAGAGTCGGTTCCTAGTGGAAGATCAACCGAGAGACAGCGTCATTACACTAACAGCTCGCTAGGTACAGGGTAGCCACAGGGTAGGCTAGAGGCTCAGCACTGGCACACACACTTGAGCGCTTGGCCTGGGAACTAGCTTGTAGCGAGCGGGCGCCGATGCGGTGCCGCAAAGAATACAAGACAAAAGTGAGGTGATGTTATTATTTTGGGGGGTTGCTCGGTAGTCCATGTCTCATCTTCTCATGAAAGCGCATGAACCGCCATTTGCACAAGCGAGAGCGAGGATCAGATGCTGGACAACGTTTAAAAATGGCTTACCGAGGACCCGTACTAGGAGGGCAGTGTAGGTGTATATAAGGGGGCAGTGGTAGCCGATGTTTGGATGAGATGTTTGGCGAAGTCGGTTGCTCTCTTTGTCTTGATTGTCTTTTGTGTTTTTTTCCCTTGTTGTTTCTTGGGAGTATCTCGTTGGTTTCGTCAATCAACACTGCCACTGGAAAGGAGAGAGATCTCCATTCGGTCCCGAGAAGAGGAAGCTGAGCAAATTGGGATGGGTGCTCGTGTGCTCAAGTGGAAACTGGTGGGAACAGGCCAGACCACACCAGTCACCACAGGCATGATGCCTCACCGCGGAGGAAAGATGCAAGGAACTCATGACGAACGGCTGTCTTGGTGGCTGAAGTTGATGGAGGAGATTCCTGGATGCTGCCTGGATGCTGGCTGAATGGAACTGAAGTGGAAGGAGACGAAGGCACTCGGATTCGAAGAAAAGTTGAGAAACCCCTTTTCCAATTCTCCGCCTGCTCGTCCCTTCCACAGCCCTGCCAAGATCAGCGTCAGTGTGCCCCGCATTGGGATTCATCTGTGCTCCATAGGTACCCGCACTTTAGCGCGATCCGCGGGATCTGCATAGGCTCTCTCCACAGAGGCACCATTTGTCATCCTTCCACCTCTCCACAGCTTTCCCGTTTGGACCTGGGTCGGGTAGGTTGAGCTGGAGTGCCATCCTTGGCGTTTGCCGATCCAATTTGAGCCATGAATCCGTGCGACTCCAGGGGGTGAGGGGGTCAAGGTTGGCCGGTTTGAACAAAAAGGTGTCGTTGGATGTGGGAAGGAGATAATACGGACAATAAAGTGCGCGGGAGGGTGGTGTCCTTCTTGCCGTCTTTATGCTCCTGCGCCTTCTACGTGTACGCCGCTTCCAACATCGTGCAGTTGGTTACAAATTGATGAGGTGGTTGGGCATCTCTGCGTTTCCATTCTTCCTATTGTCGGTTCAGTTATTCAATAATTCCATCTTCCACTTCTTCTGGGCACTGTCACCGACCGCCGGAGTTTCTTAAGCTCGGAGCCAAGACTCCACTTGTTGATGCAGGTCCACGGCAGCTTTCCCCGGCCGCCGAGAGAGACCGCTCCAGCGCCCCGTCTTTCGGGACCGGATTTCCCGTTTTCTGTCTTGTGATTCTTTTGTGTTTTCTGATTCTTCTGCGTTACCCCTTTTCCATTTTCACTCAAATGCCTCCAAATGCCAAATTCACTGTTCCGCATGTAACTCCCAGCCTTCAATTGGGCACCTGGACCATGCTCTAGACTATCTACAGCGTACCTTATCCAAACACGACAAACATGGACAACAAGGTCAAGGTCGCAACCTCGACCGGTCAGTTATGACTGAGAGGGACCATGTTCTCGGCGACCTCGATTGTTTGGCCAGTTCGGATCATAAGATAGGAGTGCCGCCGACACAGTAAAAACCACATGTTTGCTGGTGAGTAAAACACTTGTTTGTACGGTCTTTCGTCTGGTTTGTTTGGTCAAGGAAGGTTCCGCAAAAAAGAGACATGGATGTCAAGTGAATGTTACGGTGTACACAACCCAGGCACTTGGGCCAACCATTCGGGATGCAACCTCGAGTATCTTTTTTGTACGACTCAGCTCCTTCGACCAAAGAGCCGCCATCAGTCCGACTGTCGGTCGGTCGGGGTTGGAGTTGAGTTTGGAGTTTCTTCGGCATGTTTACTTTTTTTTTTCGATCGAGATGCATCTCGTCTATCGCCAACCATCACCTGCCACCGCAACATCAAAGTTCCGGCTTCCTACCTATCCAAGAGATGGAGACAACATGGGGAGCGCGATATCTCGACACCGACTTGTGAGCTCTGGCCAAGGCAGAGAAAGACCGGCCTCTTATAATACTGTCGCCAGGGTCTAAACTCTGTTCCACCACGCTCACCGCCCGGTAGCATAAGCTTCCCCAGACCGTCAGATGTCCCTAGTAAACAAGGCCAATCAATGTCTTCAAGCCGGGTACCCAAACAATCCGGGTCAGTAGCACAACGCCCAGAAGAATTGTCTGACAAGGCGCATACTAAACCGTCTCGCAAAGAAACAAACCGAACATCACGGCATCTTGTGTTTACAGCCGCACCGAATCCCTATCGCGGGATCATAGTCCGACAACGAGGCACGGATGCATGGAATGGGTCTTGTCGATCCGGCAGCCAGACCAATGAGGGTCCGTGTAAGACAAGGTCTTGGACGACGGCTTCGACGGGATGGATGCACAACACCAAAAGATGCCCCTCCAAAAACCACCAAGGGATGTGCAAATCCACATCCGGATACAACTCGAGTCTCACCATACCACAGACATTTGATCCGCCCTGTAAGACATTTGCATCCAAGCGGCCGCAAACACCCCGCAGAAACTGCAGCTAGGACTTTGGTGTTGTCGAAGCTTGCGAACCATCAAGTCGATCCCGGACGTGCAGACCGTGAAAGAACTTCAATGGAGGGTGGACTCGGACGGTCTTGGCCAACATGTGGATGCAAACTTCAACCCTCCGCCCATGTCCTAGACGGTCCTGGATGCCCTGGACAAAAAGTCCCCGGACTTGGGGTCCCCCATGATCTCGTACCTTGACGGGCCGACGGAGTATCATAAGCGGTCCACACAGGGCCACTCAAACGACCTCACCTCCACCCGGCCTCGATCGGAACTTCATCTAAGCCAAGCAGATAGCGCGATAGCAAATCGTGGATAGCACTATGCGAGCTGGGTATCGTCTTTAGAGGCGAAATACACAGTCCATAACAGTATTCACCAAGGGTTCTTTAAAGATCTTCCCCTTTTTCAGCTTGGTATAGTCTGGCCCAGTTCGGCCCTCTTCAACCTTGTGTTGCATCGTGCCCTGACTACCTGACCGAACATCAAGTGGCGGCGTCTTGGTCCTTGGAGAAGATCGGATTCACACAAGCCCGGACCGGGACATCCAGAGACACACATCTTGCGCACACCATACCTACCTCTACCTCTAATACTTAACTCTTCTCGCGTCCCGCTTTCCAAGGGAGCACCACCTAGCTTGCCATCACCACTCATCCAAGATACCCCTCCCTCCAATTTTGTGCCCTTTACCTCCCCTCCCGTTATCTGTGGGCATATCACACTTTGTCATTTTCAACATAAACGACGTTGACGAAGCGACATACCATCATCCTAACGAAACCATACGACTCTTACGACCCCTCTTAATTTTATACCCAACCTTACATACATAATGGATTCCAACATGCCTATTGCCATCGTTGGCATGAGCTGCCGATTCGCTGGCGACATCGACAGCCCGTCCAAGCTCTGGGATCTTTTGGCTCAAGGAAAGAGTGCCTGGTCGGAGATTCCCAAGGATCGATTCAATATCGATGGATTCCACCACCCCAACTTTGAGAAGCTCAATGGCGTATGTTTTCCCTGTGGGAAGAGTAGTTGGAAACCTGCTAACAACTCATGCAGACAAACGTAATAGGAGGCCACTTTATGAAGGAGGATATTGGCCTGTTTGATGCTCACTTCTTCAATCTTTCCGCCGAGACTGCTGCTGCGTTGGATCCCCAGTTTCGTCTACAGCTCGAGTCAACATATGAAGCCCTTGAGAGCGGTTGGTCTTTCCCTTTCCCAAAGTCAAGTGAACGCAGCAACTGACACCAACCAAACAGCTGGTATCACTCTTCAGGATGTGGCTGGCTCCAACACCTCGGTCTACGCCGGCTCCTTCTTCCGGGACTACCATGAGAGCTTGATCCGTGACCCTGACACACTCCCCCGCTTCCTCCTCATGGGCACCGGCGCCGCCATGGCCTCCAACCGTCTCTCTCACTTCTTCGACCTCCGCGGGCCCAGCATGTCCGTCGATACCGGCTGCTCCACCACCCTCACAGCGCTGCACCAGGCTTGCCAGAGCTTGCGTTCGGGCGAATCCACCATGTCCATCGTGGGCGGTGCCAACCTCATGTTCAACCCCGACATGTTCCTCGCCATGTCCTCCATGACGCTCATCTCCAAGGACGGCCGATCGTGGGCCTTTGACAGCCGCGCCAACGGCTACGGGCGCGGTGAAGGTTCCGCAACGGTGATCCTCAAGCCCCTTGACGCTGCTCTCCGTGACGGCGACCCAATCCGCGCCATCATCCGCGACACCGGCATCAACCAGGATGGCAAAACCGAGACCATCACCACACCCAGCGGCGAGGCACAGGAGGCGCTTATCCGTGCGTGCTACGAACGCGCCGGTCTCGATCCGGGACAAACGACGTACTTTGAGGCGCACGGAACCGGTACTCCGACGGGCGATCCGATCGAGGTGAATGCCATCGCTTCGGTGTTCAAGGGCTCGCGCAAGGGCTCAGGCGAGGATGCTTTGCTGCGCATTGGCTCCGTCAAGACCAACATTGGCCACACTGAGACTGCTTCGGGCGTGGCGGCCATCATCAAGGTGGCGTTGGCGCTGGAGAGGAGCCAGATCCCGCCCAGCGTCAACTTTGAGAAGCCGAATGCCAAGTTGAGCTTGGACGAGTGGAAGCTGAAAGTCCCCACCGAGCTGGAGGAGTGGGTTGGCACAAAGGACGGCATCAGGCGTGCGAGCATTAACAATTTCGGCTACGGCGGGTCCAATGCGCACGTTATTATGGAGGATTATAGCAGCTATCTCGCTACGGCGCAGCGGACAAAGACGCTGACGAATGGCGCTGACAGACGCACTAACGGTCACCACCACGCCGATAGCGGAATTGTCATTGATGACGATGTCAACAATGACAACTCCAAGGTCTTCATCCTTTCCGCCAAAGACGAAAAGGCCACCGAGCGCATGATTGCCAACCTCAAGACTTATCTCCAATCCCAAAAATCCAAGAAGCTTTCTACAATCCAAGAAAATGCGCTCCTCTCCAACCTCGCCCATACCCTCTCCGCCCGCCGCACCCTCTTCCCCTGGTCCGCCACCTTCTCCGGCTCCTCCATCGACTCCCTGATCCGCACCATCGACTCAGGTCGTGTCAAGCCCGCCAAAGCCTCTGCCACCGCACCGCGCATCGGCTTCGTCTTCACCGGCCAAGGCGCCCAATGGTGGGCCATGGGCAAGGAGCTTATTGACGCCTACCCCGTCTTCAAAGCCGCCCTGCTAGCCTGCGATGTCGAGCTCAAGAAACTCGGTGCCACCTGGAACATGTGCGAAGAGCTTTCGCGCGATGCCGAGACCAGTAATGTCAACAAGCTCGATTATAGCACTCCCGTGTGCGTGGCCGTGCAGATCGCTCTGGTTGAGCTGTTGAAGGCCTGGGGAATCAGGCCCACGGCTGTCACTTCCCATTCTTCCGGTGAGATTGCTGCTGCGTATGCCGCTGGGGCGCTGGACCTTTCGAGCGCGATGGCGATTGCTTTTGCCAGAGGTGGTTTGGCGAGCGAGGGTAACCGCCAGTTCGCGAGGAAGGGTGGTATGATGGCTGTTGGACTTGGCAGGGAAGAGGGCGAGAAGTATCTGCCTCTGGTCACCCAGGGTCAGGTCGTTGTTGCTTGCGAGAACTCACCCACCAGTATCACCTTGTCTGGTGATGTTGAGGGCTTGATCGAGCTGGAGCAAGTCATGAAGGTGGAGAATATCTTTGCTCGCAGACTGAAGGTGGACGCAGCGTGGCATTCGCATCACATGGAGGCTGTCGCTGATGCGTATTATGCCTCTATGGACAAGAAGGTCAAGCCGGCCAAGGACAAGTTGGATATGATCTTCTCTTCTCCCTGCACCGGCAAGCGGATGGACAAGGTCAGCGAGATCGGCAGCCCGGGACACTGGGTGCGCTCACTGACGGGCTGTGTCCGTTTCGTGGATGCCTTCCGCAGCATGGTCTTTGCTGATAAGGATGCGACGGAGCCGACGGTTGATATGGTCATCGAAGTCGGTCCGCACGCGGCGCTGTCGGGTCCTATCCAGGATATTCTGGCTTTGCCCGAGTTCAAGGGGGTTAACATCCCCTACGGCAGCTGTTTGATTCGCAAGAAGAGCGCGGTTGATACCATACAGGATCTCGTCGGTGACCTGGTTCGCAAGGGATATCCTGTTAGCCTCAAGGCTGTCAACTTCCCCTTTGGCACCGAGGGTGTCAGGGTGTTGACGGACTTGCCTGCTTATCCCTGGAATCACTCGACCAAGCACTGGATTGAGCCGCGCTTCAACCGTGCTTTGAGACAGCGCTCTGAGGCTCCTCATGATTTGCTTGGCTCGCTGGTTCTGGGTTGCGATCCTGCTGCTCCTACGTGGAGACATATTGTCCGTCTTAGTGACCTTCCTTGGGTCAGGGACCATTGTGTGCAGGGGAACATGATCTATCCCGCTGCGGGATACATCGCCATGGCTGTTGAGGGCGTGCAGCGCTTTGCTTCTCGTCAGGCAGGTGATAAGAAGATTGCTGGATATCAGCTTCGTGATGTTGACATTCTCAATGCTCTTGTGGTTCCTGAGACCAGCGAGGGCATTGAGATGCAGCTTTCTCTTCGCCCTGGCAGCGAGAGGGATCTTTCGACCAAGGGATGGACCGAGTTTACTGTTCAGTCTGTTAACTTGGACAACAAGTGGACTGATCACTGCAAGGGTTTGATCTCCGTTCACTTCGGTGTTGCTCCCAAGCATGCTGTTAACCAGCCTACCGCGGACTCTCACTATCGTATCTGTATCAACCCTAATGATATCTGGTCTGGCATGCGCTCGGGCGGTATCAACCATGGTCCCATCTTCCGCAACATGAAGAGCATTCGTACCCGCAGCAAGCAGTCTGTTACCACCTTCACCGTGGCTGATACCAAGTCTGTTATGCCCAAGCAGCACGAGATGGCCCATGTCATCCACCCGACCACTTTGGACTCGGTCTTCCAAGCTGCTTACACCGCTGCCCCTGGCGCTGGTGGCAAGAACCAGACCCCCAAGGTCCCTCGTTCCATCAGCAAGCTCTGGATTGCCCACGATATCAGCAAGCAAGCCGGTCACGACTTCAAGGCCTACGCCAATCTCGACCACGCCGACGATCAGTCCACCAAGACCGCTCTCCGCGTCGTTGACGATGCCGCCGAGGTCTCCACGCCCGTCATCTCCATCGACGGCTTCGTCTGCCAATCCATCGGCAACGCGCCCACCGCCTCTGACGAGCCCTGGGAAGCCGACAAGTTCACCACCACCCACTGGGCGCCCGACGTGACCTTCCTCAAGGATATCTTTCTCAAGAAGCAGCTCGGCAGCCAGATCACCCCCGAGGAGGCCGAGATTCTCATGGACCTCCGCAAGGCCTGCATGTACTACATCTACGACGCCCTGCGCGACCTCACGCCCGAGGATATGAAGAAGCTGGAGTGGTATCACAAGAAGTTCTACATCTGGATGCGTCTGCAGGCCGACCTCGCCCGCGCCAATGAGCTCGGGCCTGATAGCAGCAAGTGGGCCAATGCCACGCTGAACGAGAAGGCTACTCTGCTCGAAAAGGTCAGGGTTAGCAGCACCAACGGCGAGATGGTCTACCGCTTGGGACCCCAGATCGTGCCTATCTTGAGAGGAGAGATCACTGCTCTGGAGGTCATGCTCGAGCAGAACTTGTTGAGCAGGTACTACCTCGAGGGCCTCAAATGGGGCCGGGCCAACGCCAAGCTGGGCGAGATGGTCCGTCACTACGCGCACAAGAACCCTCATGCCAAAATGATTGAAATCGGCGGCGGTACCGGTGGTGCCACGGCTCACGTTCTCAACGCCATCGGCACTGCAGAGGACGGACTGGGTCCCCGCGCTGCTAGCTACGACTTCACTGACGTGTCGTCCGGTTTCTTCGAAGCGGCCAAGGAAAAGTTCCAGCCGTGGAAGGATCTCATGCGCTTCAAGAAGCTCAACATCGAGCAGGACCCATCCGCGCAAGGGTTTGAGGAGGGCACATATGACGTTGTCATTGCGTGCCAGGTTCTGCACGCCACTAAGTCCATGGATAATACGATGCGCAATGTTCGCAAGCTGCTCAAGCCCGGCGGCAAGCTGTTCATCATGGAGACGACCAGGGACCAGATGGACGTGCAGTTCGTCTTTGGTTTCTTGTCCGGATGGTGGTTGTCTGAGGAAGAAGAACGCAAGTTCAGCCCGTCGCTTTCGGTGCCCATGTGGGATCGTGTCTTGCATCGCACTGGCTTCCGCGGAGTCGAGGCTGAGATCAGGGATGTGGAGCATGATGAGCTTTATGCGTTTAGCGTCATGAGCTCGACTGCCGCGATGAGCGCTCCTGTCTTTGACTTTGATATCAAGTTCGTCACGGGCAGCAACCAGATTCCTGAGGTTTGGTTGGACAAGCTTCGGGTGTCGATCGGCTTGTTGACTTGCTCGGTTCCGACTGTCAAGACTATTGAGGAGGTTGAGGTGGATGGGAACGACGTTTGCGTCTTCCTCGATGATCCCAAGAACCCCGTCCTGGCCGACCCGAGCAAGGCACAGTTCAGCGGCATCAAGGACATGTGCACACGCGCCAAGGGTCTGCTTTGGTTGACGCAGGGCGGTGCGGATGGGTGTGAGCAGCCTTTGGCTTCTCTCGCTGCTGGATTCCTCCGCTCGCTGAGACAGGAATACTCCGGTAAGAGGCTGGGGACACTCGATCTTGATTTCACCAAGGATATCTGGTCTGAGTCGTCTATTACTACCATCACCGAGGTTTTCCGCAAGTTGTTTGATTACTCGGTCAACGAAACCGGCAGCGACTTTGAGTTTGCCGAGCGCGAGGGCACTGTTAAGATTCCCAGGTACATCAAGGACGTGAACCGTAACTCGGCTGTCTTCAAGGAGAAGGATATGACTGCCCAGCCCGAAGCGGAGATGGAGCCCTTCATCCAACCCGATCGTCCCTTGCGTCTGACTATTGGCACCGCTGGGTTGCTCGACACCCTCAAATTCGTCGATGACCCTTCGGCCGCTGATCCTCTGCCCGAGGACTTCGTCGAAGTAGAGCCGCGCGCCTTCGGCGTCAACTTCCGCGACGTCATGGTAGCCATGGGCCAGCTCAAGTCAAACACCATGGGCTACGACTGCGCCGGTGTCATCACCCGCGTTGGTCCCGCCGCTGCTTCTGAGGGTTACACCGTCGGCGACCGCGTATCCGTTTTGCTTAGGGGTCACTACGCCAGCAAATGCCGCATTCATTGGACCAGCGCCGTCAAGATCCCCGACTCCATGACCTTCGAGACGGCCGCTTCTCTCCCGACGCAATACGTCGCTGCTTACGTCTCTTTGTACGATACTGCTCGACTGCAAAAGGGTGAGTATGTCCTGATTCATGCTGCCACCGGTGGAGTGGGACAAGCAGCGGTGATGATGGCGCAGCGCGTCGGGGCCGAGGTGTTTGTCACGGTCGGCACGGACGAAAAGAGGGAGTTCGTGATGAAGCACTACGGTATTGCGCCCGACCACATCTTCTCCTCACGCGATACTTCCTTTGCCGCCGGGGTAATGGGTATGACCAAGGGTCGCGGCGTAGACGTCGTTCTCAACTCCCTCGCTGGCACTTTGCTCCAGGAATCATTCAACTGCCTTGCGCCCTTCGGCCGCTTCGTAGAGATTGGCAAGCGCGACTTGGAACAGAACAGTTCCCTGGCAATGGAAGCGTTTACCCGCGCGGTGTCGTACACCAGTATCGATGTCATCACCTATGGCGAGCACAAGAAGATGGAGACCAATCGGATCATGAAGGATATTATCCACTTGGTTGGCAACGGGGAATTGAAGACAGTTGAGCCCATCACCGTTTACCCCGTGGGAGAGATCGAGAAGGCGTTCAGGCTGATGCAAGCTGGTAAACACATGGGCAAGATCGTTCTGAGCGCTGGTCAGGAGACGATGGTTCCCGTTCTTCCCCGCGTCACCACCTCCAACACCGTCTCTTTGCGGTCAGATGCCTCTTACCTCGTTGTCGGCGGCTTCGGCGGCCTCGGTCGATCTATCTGCTCTTACCTCGCCTCGCGCGGGGCCAAGAATCTTGTGGTTCTTTCGAGAAATGCCAAAGCCGATAAGCTTGCCCAGCTGCAGACTGAACTCAATCATGTAGCTAAGGGCGTCAAGGTTACTGCTATCAGCTGTGACATCTCCAACATGGCTGTCCTGACAAAAGCCCTTGATTGTGTGGCAAGGGGAGTCCCACCTATTAGAGGTATCATCCACGGCGGCATGGAGCTGCGCGACTCGGTGCTTGAACATATGAAGGTGGAGGATCACAAGGCTGCGCTTGCTCCCAAGCTCAACGGCAGCTGGAACTTGCATCAATACTTCTCCTCTACTTCTTCCAAGCAAGGAAAGGGGGCACTGGATTTCTACGTCATGCTCTCCTCCCTCGTCGGCGTCGTCGGGTTCGCTTCCCAGAGCAATTACTCAGCAGGCGGTACCTTCCAGGACAGTCTCGCCACGCACCGCGTTGCTAACGGCCTTCCCGGTGTAAGCTTGGATCTGGCAGTGGTGAAATCAGTCGGGTACCTCGCTGATCATCCTGACTCCGAGAAGACGATTGAGTCTCTCAAGAGACACGGGTTCACTGCCCTCGCTGAGGACGAAGTCCTCGCCGCCATCGGCAGTGCCATCCAAACGCCCTTCGCGGGCCAGTTGACGCTTGGTCTAAACTGTGGACCTACCGGCCAACCTAGCCCTGACGCTCCTCTCGCGCACGACGCCCGTTTCGCTCAGTTAAAGCACAGGGCAGTCAAGACTTCTACCGCACCCACTGCAGCCAGCGGCAACTCGTCAGACCTATCTTCCCTTTTGGCCAACGCCCAAACCCTAAAAGGTGCTCAAGAGCATACGCTGGAAGCAATTACCAAAAAGCTGCAAGACATTTTCATGATCGCCGACGCGTCAGAAATCAACCCTGAGCTGTCGCCTGCTGAGTTCGGCGTGGATAGTCTGGTGGCGGTCGAGTTGAGGAATATGTTGAGCATGAAGGCGGGCAGCGAGATGAGTATTTTTGAGATTATGCAGTGTGGAAGTTTAAGGGGGTTGGCTGGGGTTGTTGTTGGGAAGTCAAGTCATGTCGATGCTGGGCTTAAGGAATAGGGGGGCTACGATATGGGATTTACTTGGTGGAAGCGGTGGTCACGGTGGTGATGGTATCTACGGTGGTGTCTACGGTGTTGAGGATGAGGGTGGACGGTGAGCTCGGTGAGCTTGGACACGGCCCACGATGGGAATGACCGGGAATGACTTCCCAGTGGACTACCGAGCAGAGGAGAAAGAAGCGGGGAGTCGCACCCCGAACTCGGAATTGCAGGATCCCGGATGGGGATTTCTTCATGGCCCATGGGAGAGTCGGGAGGACGGGAGTTGTTGGTTCAAGGCGGTCTGATGAGATGCAGTGATCTGCAGTGAGGGTGGAGAAAGAGGACTGGACTGGACTTGCTGGCGAGTTCACTTTGAGCATGTTTTTGGCGTCTTGTTTTACTGTTCTGTTTTGGTCATTCTACCTGCTTTTGGTTTTGCCATGTTTTTTTGTTTTGGATGCCTTGGAGTTATTAGTTCTGTTAATTTCACTGTTTAGACTTGCGCGAATATCACTTGTTTTTTTTATTCAACTCTCTCATAAACCTGCTCATGTTTGGTCAAGGTTCGGCATCTCTGGAGTGTTGTTCCATGGCTTTGGTCGCTCGTGATCTCGACAGTGAACCTTGATGGCCGGCCGAGTGGTCTTTGAGGGACACGAGCTACGAGGGAGGAAAGGACAGCATTCCGCACCGTCGATCATCGCTAGCACCTACTAGAGCTGAATGGGAAAGATGGAGATATGAGGGAGATGATGGAGATGACTTACCTGATCACCTGGTGCTTTTTCCCCAATAGTCCAAATCTCAAGCGTCCAACAGTCCAAGAATCATGGGGAGTGACAAGGGACTTGGGAACTTCCGGTCTACACTACTCCCGGCTGTTAGTGCTGTCCACTGTGTGCGGTGACATGCTAGAGACTGCACTAACAGGGATACTGCTGAGGTGACTGGGGACAGCTCACCGGCTCACTGGGAGTTGCATTCCCTGTTAGCGCTAGCGCACTGTCGATCACCATCAAGACCGTACGGGGGCAGATGAGGGCACTGTAACCCACCCCACCCCCCGGTACCCCCTTTTAGTGGACTGGGGGAACCTTGTCCCTTTTCCCCATCTCCCCCATGTCAACAGCCCCATGTCAACAGGGACAGTATCCCCCGGTGTGGTCAACGAGTGGGATGAACTGGAGGAGCTTGCCTGACTGCCACTGGATGTTATCTGGATACCCGAAGCGAGCGAGTTGGCGAGAGCCGAGTCATTGATGTAGTGTACCTCAAGGTTGAAATCCTGCTCGGTTATCGGGGTGAATGATGATCAAAAATCGTGATCAACTCGGATCAACGATTGTCGATGATTTGTCGACGGTATATCGGATCATGTCCGCATATCATTTTCAGGGCAACTCGGATGTTCAGGGCCTCAGGGCTTCAGGGCTTTGGGCTTTTGGGGGTCGTCATAGGTATTCAAGGAACTTCAGTTGGTACGTCCTATAAGCGAGCAAGCGTGCCTGACGAGCCTGACGCGCCGGACGAGCTGGCTGATGATCAGTGATTACACGTGTAGTCCCCTGAGAAAAATGACAAGATCGTGATCGAGGTGTTGATCTACCTCTAAACTCCCAAGCAGGGTTGCCAATTCGGCTGAGTCCCGCCGGTTCCAGCACTTCCAGCTGTAGCTGAACCCAGAAGAGGGCCAGACGCCTCACGTACACGCCGAGGAAGCGCCCAAACCCTTGGGTTGGGATTCCAAATCCCTGGACATCTCGAGCTGAGGCCGAGACTCAGATCCACGCGGTAGATCCCGTTAATGTTCATACCAAGCCTAAGATGATCCGTAGGTATCAAGGACCCATTCGCCCAAGCAGATAGATGGGTGTGTTGTCCGGCTCGAGGTTCTCCGATCGGTAGTGGTACTCTATTGGACATGGTGAATGGCTTCATTCCCTCTCGTTCCCAAGCCGAGTGCTATCACATACCTGTGTACCTATCTGATTAAACAACTTCGGCGTTTTAGTGGCCCTCATACCTTAACATTGAGCAACGAATGGAACACTTCCAGATAGCATGTTTGAAGGCCGAAAGACATCGGAAGATGGGACGAGCCAGGCCATGTCATCACCTCCACGATGGGTTTCCTTCTAGGTATGCACGCTTGTCAAATGGATGTATTGATGAGGTGCACATGCATTGCATTGATCCTTTCTCCCCCGTTCCCACAAATGAGGTATCGAACCAAAACCATGCATCCCGCTTTACAACCAGACTCCATCGCAGCTTTCCCATTTGTTATGACTTTTTCTTTTTTTTGCTTCCCGTTAATGCTGTGGAAGAACGCCATGCAGAAACCCACGCAACCGATCGCCCTCGCAGACGGTTTTGACGATGCTGCACTTCAGTCTTCAGCTAACCGTTCCCTCGGAAAAGGCATGCGGAAGACGGCCCGGGTTGCATTGCACCGGCCAAGCGGCCGACCATGCCTTGTATCAAGCCTTTAACAAGACTGTCAAGCCTCATTTCAAACCATGGGACAAGCACTGAGATCTGATTCGTGTGTTCGAATATCATAAAAGCTGTTGTGCGACCCTCAAATGTTGTTATGCCGATCCCTCCCTTATTTACAGGTGGCTTACAGAAGTGAGGCTTGCGGTTCAGCTGCACTTCAAGCATAGCCGTTGCAGGAAGGTGGTAACTTCCGTAGGAGGAAGCTGAGGGATGAAAAGTGTGAGACATGCGTCTCGTTATCAGCTAACAGCTTCCGCGGTTGTGGTTGTGGCAATGTACTTGTACTTGATAAAAGTATTATAGTTGCATATTCTTGGGTATCTTGTTCTGCTCTGCAGTAGTTGTAGTTGTATGCTTCATGGTATAGGTATTATCCTTCTCCTCCCTCCCACTATTCCCCTTCTAGTCCCTTGGTCCCCCGTCCCTATTCTGGTTCCTCTTCCTCCTTCCTGCCCTTCCACCTAATAAGCACAAAGTTGAATCTGGGGTATATGCTGATGCTGATGCTGATGTGAAACACTAAGAGAATGAGAGTGACTGTGTGAATGACTCTGACTTGGTACATGGTCCATAAGCAGAGTCTGTGACTGTTGTTGTTGGTGTTGATGTTGAGCACGTTGTTGTTGAACATGATGCTGCTGACCGGGCTGAGCATGATGCTGACCGTACTGCTGATGCTGCTGCTGCCGCTGCACAATCTCCAACGTATGCAGATGCTCCCTAGCCAAATTATTAAAAGTCTGCATCTTCCTAAGCGCGTCCAAGCAGCACTGGATCTCAGCATCGTATTCGGTTTCCGTAGTAGTAGCCGGAATAAATCCCTCAGGCAGTACTTGGGCAGTGAGCTCATTCAGCGTTTGGGTGCGTTGAGATATCAACCGGCTAGCGGCGAGGGAGATGGACAGGGGAAGAAAGATGTGTGCCTTGAAGTAACCAAGATGCTCATGAGCCTTGGTCAAAGCAGCAATCTCCCTCGCGGCCCGAAGTGCTCGCTTCTGGTACTCGAATGCCGCTGGGTCCCATTGTCCATTTGTCCCCTGGTGGCAGTGGCCGGCTTCGACGACCTTGCAAAGGTTGATCGTCGTGGTATGAGCAAGCATAAAAGCAAAGAAGAGCATCGGATCCGCGGCCGCTGATACCACGGGGTAGCTCTGCATAAGGGAGTCCAGTCGCTTGTTGATCATGCCCGCCAACCACTCGTGTCGGATCCAAAAGTCGGGAGACATGGTCGTGCTGCCCAAGCCGTTGTAGGTGCGCTCGACGTTGGCGACTTGGGTGTGGGAGAGGGTGCGGCCGCAGATGGTGGCGAGCACGACGCTCTCGGCGAGCGGGGAGAAGAGGCCTTGGAGGTGGTCGCTGGAAGCGATGGCTTCGGGGAGGAAACACATTTGGATGGGTTGGCTGCTTTGGAAGGCGAGTTCGGGGGAGGGGAGGCGGGTGCAGATCTGTGCGTTGCATGTCGTCAGCATGTGGTTGCGAGGTAAATGCAGGTGTATGGGGATATGTGAACTCACCACCTCCTCCATCAACGTCAAAGGCCACTGATTCTTCAAACTGATAAACCGATCCAGACAATACGCCACCCAAAACGTCCTCCTCCTTTCTTCCACCACCACCGGGTCCTCGCCCTGCTGCAACATCGATCTCTCAGGGCTATCGATCTCATGCAGTCTCGCCAGCTGCACCAGCCGGAACGCCCTGCCGGCTGTCACCCACCCGCGCTTGTAGTTGGTCCGGGAGAACTCGTAAAAGGCAAGCAAGAGCCAGGCTTGGACCTCCTCGATGCAGACGGGGCTTCCGTGGCTGTGGTGGTTGTTGTTCTCGCACATGTCGAGTGACTCGAGCATCTGCTTGGTTTCGGTGTAGAGGGTGTCGCGGTAGGACTCAAACTGGGAAGACAAGGCCATGGCGAGCGTCCACATGGCGTACTGGAGACATAGGCGGGGGCTGGGGTGGTGGCTGGTGAGTGGTGTTTGTTGGGAGAGGGCGAAGTAGCGGGATTGGTTGAAGATGGGGACGTTAGGGTGGACGCGGTCGAAGTAGAGTTGGTCGCTGGAAGAGGTTAGAAGATGTTGACATGAGGTGGAAGATGGGAGAAAGAAGACCTACAGGTCTGCACGCATAAGATCGTGGATCAAGGCGCGCTTTGGTGGTGTTGGTGGTGATGGAGGGAACTTGAAGTTCTGCATCGACAAGGGAATATGTGGTGTCATGGGCGAGAGCTGTCCACCATGGGCATGGTAGTCGGACCCATCCCATATCGATCCCCTCGTCCCTCGTGGTGATGGGAGTTGGCTGAGGTCTCCATCGGAGGCAGGTCCCGGTGGTGGTGTACTCCCGACTGGAAGAGGATGTTGTTGTGAAAGGTCGGCGTCGCCATGCAGTGATAGGGCATCAAGGTTGGTTGGGTCGAGACTGAGACGACGTTCAAGAGCGACTATGTGAAAGGAAAGAAGAGTAAGAAAGATGATGTCAACAACCGAAGATTTGGGGTAACTTGAGACCCGAATACGAGATATAGGGCTGTGTGACTCCCGTCGGGGTGAATGCAGGGACTCGGGGTGACCTACCGATGCGGCTCCGCAGGGCCTTGAGATCGCCTTTCTTGGGTCCGCGGGCGAGACGGTTGTGGTTGACTTCGCATACGATTCCTGCATCGGCGCAAGTTCCGCATTGGGGACGTTGCCGGTCGCATCGCAACTTGCGCTTCCGGCACTCCTCACACGCGGACCCGGGCAGCTGTCTCGGCTGCGGAGGCCCGTCCGTACTGCTGGTTCGTCGGCTAGCAGGCATCTTTGTTGTTTTGTGTTGTATGAAGTTATTGATCTGGAGACTAAAGATTGAAGACACAGACAGACAACTACACACGGCGGGATGGGACTTGGTCTTTAATATTGATACTCGCCCTCTCCCATTCGGGGTGTCGGTCAGTTATGGAAGGTGAAAAGCAACACTGGGCAGCCAGGAACTGGACAAGGGATAGTCTAGTCTACAGGGGGTGTGAGGTGGGCAATGGAACTCGGCGAAATGGGTTATGTGTATAAATCTGGGGAAAGATTCAACACAAGTGATCCGCCTTGCCAGTGTGTGTGGGATGACTGGAAATGATGGGATATTGAGTTCGGCGACTACTCCTCCTTACTGAGAGCGGGATGTGCCATCTTTTTCGAACTTTGATGGCAGCTGGAAATGGAGATGAATGGGGGGAGGATATGCAATGCCCAGCAATGTCTGTTCCACTCTGGATGGAGGACAGTCTGGACTCTGCACAACGTTAGCGTCTCTTTAGGGTACCTACAGTGCCTCCCACAACTGTATGGGGTTGATGGCAGGGGGTCAAGGGGTCCTCAGCTGTCATCTGGATTGGTGGGTGTCGACAGCACGGCAAGCCTGGAAGACGACACAGTGACACACCTGATAATCGACACAGAAAGAACCCGCTCAAGGAGCACATGAACCGGTGGAAGGGAATAGGCGGAAAACAGAAACCGGCAGCGGGATGCTTCCGGATGTGTCCCTCAATACAGTATCGATGTGGTGTTTTGCTGTTGTCAACTCCAAGGTCGGATTTCGTGATCAGACAACACCTATTGGGCCCAGATGGCGGATGTTCAGGGCTGTTTGGAGGGTCCTTGGCATTCCTTTCAGGTACCTAGCCTAACAGACCCCCTCACGTGCCCCTGTACCGTACCTTAAATCCCTCTCTGTCACCCTTGCAAATCTCCCCGTATCGTCGACAAACATCAACATTGACGCCAAAAACATCCGTCCATCGTATCCCCAGAATTGCCAATCATCTTGATTTTTAATCTCCCTCATCTGCTATTTTCATCGACACATCATCTTATCTGCCGCATCCCACAAGGCGATCCGAGCTAATAATCCGTGATATCCTCCACCACATCAACATGGTCATCATCATCATCATCATCTCTTCATCATCATTGAGTGAGGGACTTGTTCGAGGCGTGCTCGTGATGAGTCCTTTTCTCGTTTGCATGTCTCTTCCGAACCGTCCATTCAGTCCAGCGGAATTCTGCTACCAACAGTGAGACACAGGGCCTGTGCGGCCCCTGTCGACGACTTGATACCAAATCCCAGCGATGATTTGTGGCTCAAAGCCTCACGGAATCGAAAGACCCGGAACGTGAATGCCTCAAACAATCGTCCATTGACCGCACCAATGAGCCATTCAGTCCAGACATCCACTTGAACTAAACATTTCTTGTTCTCCCATCACGCCTCACTGAGACATTTCCACCTCGAACCATCACCGGCATCCCGTCCGTTGAGACCCGGGGCGTCTTGCCCGTCAGCGCCTGATCGACAAAGAGCACCTCATCCAAAAAGCATGATCCTGGCTCCGATCTTGAGACATTGCAGGTGTCCTTCTGTAACAGGAAAAGTTCATCCCATCAAGGTGCCAGCGATTCCCAAGGCGTCCAAAGGCGCCTCAAGACGTTCCCAAAAAGGCCTCGCGGGATTTACCAAGGCGTCAACTGTGGCGGCAGCCACTTCCCCTCAAGTCGGTCCTATCAGGCCAGTGACCCTGCAAACCTCCCACTCTTCATTTTCGTGACCGAGCTGTTCATGATGATAACCACTGCACCGAACCATCATCGAGCCGAGTCGGTCCCTCTCTCTCTCCACCGCCTGCGTGTTGTGTTCACCTTTCAGCTAGTCCAGCAGAAGATGTTGAGCATTACCCAAAATAGTATAGCGTGTCCCTTTTAGCGTTGACCCACACCAGCGTTCATCGTCTCTTTGGTAGCAGCCAGAATGGGGATTGTTGTCCTTGACAGTCTCGTCTCTTTGCCTTTGCTTCTTTCTTTCCCTTTGCCTCCGGTCCAGCTTTCATCTCCAAACCCCAAACAACACAACTTTAATCTCATCTTGTTCCCAACTTGGGGGTTCCCGCTCGTCAAGACCCGTCAGGACCACCAGACCTGAAACCAATTTTGCAAAGACTCTAAATCGAGACTCGAGAGATTACTCGCATCCTGACTTTCCACTTTCCACTTGGGCTGGAGCCGTATACAATGATGATCGTCAACTTGGCAGAGCGGGAAGAAAGTGCCGATGCTACCTCGACAGCTCTGGCTGAGGTATCCGGCTTGGCGCTGGTGGACTTGTGGTCTTGAAGTTGAGGACAGCGTTGAAGTTGTTGAAGAGATTGAAGAGATTAACATCAGTACCAAGAGGTAACGATGCAATAACACCTTCAATTCACAAAGTGACCCTCCATTTTACTCTTTCTCTCTTCACCAGTTCCCATCAACACAACCTTGCATCTCGACATCAGTGACTTCGAGTCCAAACCAAAACAAAACTGACCAGTCACCATTCACTTACCACCCGGGTCTGAGAGCCATACATCCAGAACAGTGCTAGAGATTTATAGCGTCGAGCTCGGTAATTCTCGCAACCAGTGCCGCCGGTAGTTGACCGGTTTCCCGTTGCCCACTGCGTTGCACGAGCACCTCAAGTGTTGGTGTCACTCGTGTTTGCCGCTCGTCTGGTCCCTTACACCGTCAGTCAGTCAAACATCTACATCAACAGCTCTAACGGTCGGATAGAGAGGTATCGTTGCGTTCCAAATGCTCTTCCCCCGCATGTTTTGTCTGCAAACCTCTTTTCTTCTGTCTTGCACAATTCCCCGACGCAAGGCCGTTCAAATCTTCTGAATGTACACCGTCCCCCCTTTCATCTGGCCCTGTGGTTGACTGCCGTGGTCGAGAATGGCGAGGCGTGTATCTGACAACAGCCTCACTTATTGATCGTACGAGCTTGCCTGAGAGCCTCATTATTGTAAGTAACTTGTCTGGACGGATATCAGTATGAATAAACTGCCTCATCACATCCATTGTAATCGAAGTCTCACCTTCTTCTACACCAGGTGTAGCTCAAAGCGAAGATGAATTCCACCTGCCCAATCGTCAGCTCGGTTGCGTACATGTACCTCGAGGTACTTCCCCCTCCATGTCCAGTGAGGATCTTTCCCTCCGGTACCCCTCTCCCTCAGTGTATCCACTCAGGCGTTGCCAGACGACCTATCCTTGCCGCTGATCATCACTGATCTCCTCTCGGGCCTGGAGATCAATCATGCCATATCATCTTCCATGCAGGTGACACATCTCCGCGCGGTTCGTTCGTGAACTTATACCGCAGGTTGATTGGGCCGGTCGATGTCAACTCGGGAACAGCCGGGCATGTTCATGAGGTTGCTTTCGGGGCCGTTGTCCGGCATGTTCAGAGATACTTTTCGATGTCAACTTACTGAAGTCTCAAAGTGGAGTGACCAACCAACCGGGGAAGATGATGATGAACATCCGGGATACCGTGGACTGCCAGTGCCGCATGGCTTCGTACTTTTAGGGAATAGAGGTAGGTGGTTGTTAAGGCGAACAGTGAATGGTAGGTAGTCTGGTAAGGGCAGTTTCAGTTGAGGCACTTTTTGAGTCTCAGTTGACACTTCACAGTTGACAACTTGCCTGATACCTTTAACACACCCTCTTTGGCTCCTCACTTCCAGGCCCGGCACACGCAACCATACCGGTATACCCTGACCCAGTGCTTAACGCCCATCGCTTTTTCAAGCCCATGGAAGCCATGATCATGGCGTGTGTCTGAGACAGACCAAGGCAAGACTTGATACATCGTTTTGAGCATCTGTTCGCTCCACCAGTGCGGGTTTTGAGTTTCTGACTCGCCAGTTCGCCGGTTGAGCCACGGTCATGTCGGCTCAAACCACCCCGCTTGACGAGTCTCAGTATCACCGGACAGCAGTTAGTGACAACCTGAAGTCTCAGTGTCATCAAGGCACCTACCTCTACGTCGGGGAAGTGTCAAGCATGTGATAGAAGCTGTTGAACCACGTACCCATTTCTCCTGTCCTTTTTTCCATTTCCTGTTTCTTACTTCCTGCTTCAGGTCGTCTCTCTTGTCTCTAGCACCTCGAGGCTTGGTGGACTCGTTTTCTTGAACCCAATCACCTACTCGCCTTGCCGAGCTTCTCGCTTAGCCAGAGATAAAATATCTCATGGATCGTCTTCCTCTTGTAAGCCATAAGACGGACTAGCGACTTGTAGGTTGTAGGTTAATGTACCCGCCCACCACCTGTCCGCACTTCCTATCTCGGATCTCTAGGGGCCTGACGATCCGGCGGGGTAACTCTTACAGCTATCACATTCTATCCTTCTCCCAGTTGCGACTAGGATATGACGGTGGTCATTGATCTGCTTGTGATCTGTTCCAGGGGTGGATGGCAGGACAGCTGGCAAGATGGACAGGATGAGGTACTTGGAGGTAGAGGTAGACTCGGAGGCATGTCAGGCAGAAGTCGGAGCGCGTGAAACAGGCGAGCTAAGGTATTCAGATAATCGCTTTGTAATCAATTCGTCCTCTGGTTCTTCTCGTGGTCTATCCGCGGCAACGATTGGGTATGGTCAAGGACGATCCGGGTACCTGGACTTACTTGTAAGCAAGGTCAGCTTCCAGATCAGGGTAATACCTATACAACACGGCCCTTGAAGGGTTAGCTTGTTAGCTCGAGACATTGGGTCAACCGGTCCAAGAGTTTCCACATCCGGCTTATATGTTTTTTTGGACGACGGACGCTTGGAGGAGGTATGATTATGTCAATTGGGGTAACGGAGAGCCCTTTCTGGTTGATAAATATGCCTTTTGAGGTACTCGGTATAAGGCCGGCTCTGTCATGGTCGAAGACCATGCGGGTATCTAGGTCCAAACGAGGTCAGCTTCTTGTTTATCTCTTTCAGGTCCCGACCATAATT